CAAGAAGCACAAATTTCTAGCACCTGGGGAAAAAACAATACTAATAGAACTTGGTAGCTTGGGTGAGGAAGAGGCTTAGCTTCTAGTTTGCCTTGGCCACAGTGGTGCAGCAGGTGAGGACATCTTAGAAAAGCTTTCTGAAGTCAGGAGATTTATGCCTTATTTCCAAACAGAACAGATTTTGCTGAAAATGGCATGGATTTTTAACCAGGTCAATATAATTTATGAGTAAATAGGAGATGTTTAAGTCTACTCCTACATAAATAGCCCCAGCAAGAAAGTAGTGGAGCCTGCAAAAAAAAAAAAAAAAAAAAAAAAAAAAGATCAATTTTTAATGAGTCTCCATCAGAAAAATGTAATATCAGCTAAAGAGATCTCAAATCCTTCCTACAGAGGCTATAGAAAGGACCCCATTGCATGCATCATTGCACATGGGCAGGCTCGCTGGCTATACTCTTTCTGAAAGGATTCATACTAGTGCAAAAGTGAGGTTCACATATGTTTTTATTAATCACTGCTTTCAACTCTAATGTTATACAGAGTTATGAGACCACTGTTTGGAAAGTGGTCTTCCATATTATGAAAGAACCAAGGAAATCTGACAGCAGGTGAGCAGAGCAAGCACAGCAGGTAGGACAGCAGCAGCCAGTGGGTTGAGCAGCAGCTGCTCCCTACTACTTCATCCCAATACATAACACCCAAAATCCAGGCTGCTAGAGAATGCGACAGCAGTTTGGGGAACAACTCAGAACGCATAAGCAAGTAGGTATAGAGCACACCCATAGCAAACACCAGGGCAAAACTCCTTTGAGCTTTTGCAGCAAATGCCTTACTTGGCTCTCCTGCAGGAGCTGGACCACCTATCACAAAACAGCTTCATGAGCATCTCTGTTCCTCAAGCTCATACCACTTTCAGGAAAGAAACAAGGAAGAAAAAAAGCATCAAAGCTGGACTTTTCTACCGTGAGCCAAGATTCACACAAACTTCACCTTTTGTAGCATCAGAGTAGATGATTTCCACACCAAATAATCAGTTTTGACTTCGTATTTCTAACTGGGTAAGTAAAAATTTCTCTGGAGTAAGAGCAGCTCAGTAGGTAGGGAGATACCTTTCTACCATACATGATATGAAAGAGATGAGGCTTTACAAGAAGATGCTACAGAATTTCTCAGATTTGTTTCAGGGACAAAAGGATTCTGGAAGAGAAAAGGGAAACTGAAACAATTCTGTCAAATCTGATGCTGATCATTTCTCAAATGATGACCAAATGGAGGTGAGATTTGAAACTGATGTTTGAATACTAGAAGCTGCCATATCCCAGTAACTGAGATCTCCACACAGCTGGTGAGAAACACAGGGTCTGAAGACAATCCCCAGCTCCTAGGACAAGACCAAACCCCTCCTAGCTCAGCTGTCCTTCTCTGGACACGCTCCAGGGCCTAATGTCTTTCATGTAGCGAGGGGTCAGACTGAACACAGCACCAGAAGTGCAGCCTCACAGAGGGACAGCCTGCTGGCTGCACTATTTCTGACATAAGCCAAGAAGACCATTGGCATCCATTCCAATGGTGGCCATTGGTCTTCTTGGCCACCCAACCCACTGCTGCCTCACATTCATGAACACCCCCAGCTCCTTTTCCTCTGTGCAACTTCCCAGTCACTCTGCCCCAAGCGTGTGGAGTTGCATGGGGTGAACAATAAGGTACAGAACAAAAAGGCATATTCAGCCCTACACTCCAGCTTTCCATACCACGCATTCCTTTCAGAACTCAAACTCTTAGAGCTCTCCTCTTGAATTTTTCATTAGCATCATATGCAGAGCTCTAGAGGTTAGAAATACCATCTCAGAGGCAAAATGCCATGAAATAAGATCACAATGCCAGACACAGGTTATAAACAACAAAATCTGAATTCTCAGTAAGGCCTGTGACTTTTTCAGCACCTACAGACACACTGGGAAGCCCACACAGATTTAATTCTATGCTTCTAGAAAGTTTTAAGGTAGAAATAAATGCTATTGCTATAACACAACTGCCTGCATCCAGGCTTGCAAGGACACAACTCTAAGGTCTGCTCAAAGGTAAACTGTTGAAAATCAGGTACTTTTTCCATTTCTATCATTGTTGCATCTGGGCAAGGAAAGGTAATACAAAGTCACTTTGAAGGAAGCACTTATTTATCTCCAAGCCTTCCTGGAGTTCAGCTGGTCATTGCCTTGCTAAGAGCTGCAGCTCACAGCACTGCACTGTGGCAAGGCAGCCCAAGCCCTCTCCCATTGCAAACCAGCATCTGTTACTCCTTTCCCCATGAAAGAAGCCTGTAGAAATTTCTCTGGAAATGGAGGAACAGAATAAGGAAAAGAAACTCGTTCCATCAGCACCAAACAAGGCCAAGGAACAGAGACTATGCACGTGTCAATCACTGCTACACTGCAACTGGTCCCCTCCTCCCCAGGACATTTCCCTTTCCAACAGGAGGGGAAGGAGCCCTCTCATCTCCTCCCTCACTGCCAGCACCATGCCTGTTTCCTGCCAAAAGCTGCTGGCTGCATTTTACATAACTTTATTGGTCTGACTTTCCAACTGGTTAACAGCCCTTATCAGCAAATAAAAGCCTCCAGCAGCAGATGAGCAAAGTGATTGAGAAAGCCATAAAAACAGAAAGGAGAAAGCTGTCTGTAGTTAAAGCAAGCCTCAGCTCCTGCTCCCCAGCAAACTCCCCCAGCAAATACAGAGAACTAGCAGGTTTATTATCCTCCCTTTGATTGTATGTCATTATTATAGCATTGTTTTCCCACATACCAATTCTGCCTTAGCTCCCACTTGCAATAAAACACACAGATTTGGGTTCTTTTTAAAGATTAATAGACACAGCTACCCTCCTACTCCAAACTCATGAAGTGGCTGAATATCACTCTTGAAATTCCAAATTCAACATCATGACAGTTATCTGTCGGTGCTGAATGCCTGCTAAATTGTGAATTACGGTACAGTTTTGAGGAGGGAAAGGGCTGGCAGTGGACCAGTAGCACTGTGGCCAAATTACGATGAAAAATTGAAAGAAAAACATTAAAAAGATAAAATAATTTCCTTAGAATTATCAAAAGGAAAAAAAATGAACTTTTGGCACCAAATGCCTTGAGAGGGTGAGAAGCTGCATGCTCAGAGCCACCATTTCAGGTGGGAGGGACCAGTGATGGTAAGACTAACAGGAACTTTGCTGAAATCCAGTATGGGCTTTCAAGATGCAAAAGAAGAAAAACACACAGAGCCCACAGGCTCTAGGAGCTCTCTTGCTGACGCAGAAATGCTTCATTTTAGCTCCAGTTATGATGTCTGCATTTAGTATTCATTGCCATGTCACTGATCCTCATGAATTCCTCCCATGTGCATGTGGCTCTCTCATCTGTTTCCATCAGCATCCTGGTGTAATTTATTATTAGTTAAGAATTAATATACACTTGGAAGTATAATGTTACATTTTTCTCTTATCTTCTGGTACTCAGAAGCATTTCATGCAGCAGATCAAGCACTAAATCTGTCATGTAAACACATTATTTTGTCATGTAATGCATTATGATTGCACACTACCAGGAAAATAAAAAGCACTTAATGCTTTGTGTTTGATGTGTACTGTCAACAAAACTCAGGAAGAATTTATAAGGTGTTGGAGCTTAATGAGTATCTATTTAATAGGGTTTGCCGTATCATTCAAAAAAACGTGGCTTTACGGGAGACATGTGATACAATGAATTTTGATGTGAATTATAAAGCTCGATCTAGATCTCCAGGCTTCTACACAGAAAAGATAATAAGACCCAGAGAGCTGTTTATAAGCAATAAATCATGACATTTTCTCTTGAAATATTCCTCTCTCTTCCATCAGGATTTGTGAAGCTGCAGGCACCATGTCTGAATGCACTATCTAGTATCTTTGTATAATAAAATTATTTCAAGGAATAACTCAGCTAATGACAGGAAATGAATGAACTAGAGAAGATAGAAAAATGAGCTGATGAAATCAAACATGAACTCTACTGAACACTCAGCTACTGTAAAATTTGTCAATATTTTGCTGTCACAGGACCTCCCTAGGCTTCATAACCCATACATTCATTTGGGCACCTCTCATCAAACTTAGCAATCCTGCTACTTCTCTCCTCAGCACTGGAGGGGGTTTGCTCCTCACAAAGCCCTTCTGAAGGAAGCAACCACAGCAGAAGTGCTTCAGGGGAAAGCAGAGGCACTGAGTCACCCCCTACCCACATCTCCAGCTCACTCAGCCATGGCCTTTGCAGTCATCCTCCCTGAGTGCTTTGCTGGTGCCACAGTTGAATCTCAGACACAGGCATGGAGATCATGCTCCCCATCTCTACCAGATTCTGTGCTGTGATACAGATGCCACAGAGATGCTCATATCAATGATATTTGGGGTCCAGAATTAGTCCTGGGATGCATCCATCCAGCAATGCTATTTAACCTAACTTTATAGACAAAGTCACACTACACTGTAAGTCCTTATGGCATGATTCCAGGTTGTTGCACACAATTAACAGTGCCCTACTGAGTTCAGGAGCTCTCCCACCACAGGGCAGGCTTCACTTCCTCTTGGGTGGGCTGCATCATGTTCTGGACCAGTGTCCTTCCCCCTCTCTCAGCTATGGAAGGAGCCAAGGGTAACTACACACCAAACAGAGCCATGTAAGAGCTCCCTTTGACCTCGTGGTACACAGTTCACAGGATAAAGTCTTAAAAACTCTCCTCAGAGGGCTGATGCAATTAAAAGCTCCACGTTATTAATATTAACAAGATTTACTACTACCCATTTACAAATGATTTGCATTTTTATGCATTCTTTTAGCATGGATCATCATGAATTTCTTTGGTATTCATGAGGTTGCAATTTGTGTATTTCCATAATTACCTCATCATAATCTTCATTAGATAATGGACCAAGGGCATAAAACACCAAGTAAAATTCAAAAGCAGCGTCAACTCACCAGTCAGTGAAGAGGCTGATTTTCCCTTGTCCTTGAAGCAGAGCTCACAGGAAAGCCCTAGGAAAGAGCCGTCCCCATTATCCGCTGAGCCTTGCAGGTCAAGAGAAAAAAATAAAATCAGTGTTTGATCACAGAAATCTATGGGAATTTCCCTGCTCTCAATACTATTGATACAATCCATTGAGAAGTCCACTGCTGAACTTCTTGAGGATTGAGAGAACTGCATCTTGTGCACTACAGGCTAAGAAATAGTGATCCCTTCCCTGTGTTTTTGAAATAAGATGCAGCTGAGAGTTGATAGGCTCGTGCACACACCTGCTGCACACCAGGCCCAAGAACAAGTGGGGCAAACCCCCAGGACAGGTCACTGCCTCCCTCAAAGGAAAGTCTGATCACATTCAAAACTAGCTCAACCCAAACCTCATGGATAATTCATTATTGTACACAAAAGGAAAGAAGAAAGAGAAATGAATATTGTGTACGTAAAGTCATTTTGTGCACTTAAGAATGGATATGAACAGATTTAAAATTAACTGACTTAGTTCACCACCGAACAAGTGATTTAAAACATCCAATAAATAATTCATCCCAGCAACATACATCACCACGAGGCTCAGTCTGTGACACAGAGCACGTTGGGGGGGTGGTCTTTGTGAAAGAGACAACTCAATTCAGTGCAAAGTGAATAATCCAAAATCCCATAAATGATTCATCACTGAATTAAAAGCTATAGATTTCTCCATAGAAATTCTCTGCTCTACATTAAACACGCAGATGATTTTGTGGTGTGTTTAACTACTGGATGACTTAGTTAAGAATGACACTCACTTCAGTAGTTCAGAGTAAATTTGAAGCCATGAATCTTCATAATATGCAAGTCTGAGTATTCAAGACTTGAGGACTGAAGAGGAGCCAGGCCTCCATGCTTTTTGTTTCAAATTACATAATTACAGATTGTTCCCTGCTGCAGCTATTAGATCAATACGATAGGAAAGGTGTTACAACAAAGGTGTGATGATGGAAGGACTGGCACAACAGAAAGGTACTACAAAGGAAGGGAAGAAGATTGCTCACCTACAACAGAAGATTCCAGATTCACAGGGGAAAGCTTCACCAAGAAGGGATCTGCAGAAAGAGATCTTTCCCCAGTGGCAGTCAGCCCTTAAATAAGGTCTAAGAGAGGTGCAGCCAGGCTCCAACCCTTCTGGTCGCACTAAATTGCCTTCACCTGTGCTCCCAGGGCTGACCGGGTCCTTTCCCAGCTGCTCAATCAGTGGTTCAGCCTGTGACTCAACAGTTCCCACACACCTGGTTTGGATAATTGATCTTTCTCCCCTTTTTCTACATGTTTAAAAAGTAAAATACAAAATAAATAAAACACCTTTTCTTGATTCAAAAAAAGTTGCAGCAGAACATGCAACTTCTTCTAAGAAAGAAAATAAGGCTTCCAGTTGGGGAAGGGGTGAATTTCCTTCCCCTTGGAGAAGGGTCAGCATCTCAAATATTAAAGCTGATACCAGAATCACAGAATCACCCGAGGTGGAAAGGACACTTAAAGGCCAACTGCTCCAACCCCCCTGCACTGAACAGGAACACCCACAGCTCCACCAGGTGCTCAAAGCCCTCCAGCCTGACCTTGGCTGTCTGCAGGGATGGAGCACCACCTTCTAGCAACCTGTGCCACTGCCTCACTGTCTTTACTGTAAGAAACTTTTCCTTATAACCAATCTAAATCTCCCGTTTTCAATATTTGAAACCATTTCCCTCTGTCATATCCCAACAGACTGCTAAGGAGTCTTTCCTCCCCAGTCTTCCCAATGCTTTTTGCCCACTCCAGGTTGCATCTCTCCTGCACCCTGAGCTTCAAACCAGTGTTAACCCTTAAGCTGACATTGCCAAAGGGCAGGAAATGATCCTTCCCACCAAAGTATTCCCTGCAGGAGCCCCCCCTCCTTAATCTCATATCACTTCCACAGCCCCTTTACATTAGTTCAGCTGTTTCTCTGCAGCTCAACTTTGCCATCTGCTGTCATGTCTGCAGCAGCACGTCCCAAATCCTCTTTCCATCAGACTAAAATTTTCCACTTTTTCGTGCATTCATCTCACATGGCACAGTTATCTCTGTACTTTCCCCAAGTCCCATGATGCTATTTATTCTTATTTCTAATTTCCTATGTACTCAACTGCATTCTTCTCTTCTGTTTGCTGCTTCTTAAGCTCCAATTAGAATCCACCTTTGGAACCCAGAGATTTATTTATATTAACCTTAAAAAATGCCTAGAAAAGCACATTAACGCTGAGAAACAAACCCTGAGGCATAATGGAATATTCTGCTGAGATGGAGAGGGACCATCAGAGCAGTCAGCTCCAAGTAAAGTCTGTTAAGAGAGGTCTCATTAATCTCAGAATGATACTTAATTCTTTTCTTGGAATTCTCTTTAGAGGATTTGTACTTGTAACTCAGTGTCCACCTCTGTTTCTCATTGTTTCTTCCAGTTGTTGTTTGTTTTTTGTTTTTTTCCACTAGCCAATCTCATGTCCCAAAATACTCAGATCACTCCTTTTTAACTGCTTTTCTGTACCTCCACACTAATTGAGTGGTTCAGTCATGATCTCTTCACATCAGATCCACTTCACACAATTTAATTCACCATTTTGATGAAGGAGGGAGGCTTGCATTGGCAAGCACAGCAAGCACCACAACAAGTACCCTACAAAACAACAGCACAAGCCCTACAGCAACTGCAGGGCTGCTTTTCTCCAAGTTTTCCCATCCCCAAGCACCAGTCACTGAAGGACCTTACAGCTTTTATTTGTTTGAGGATGCTCACAAAAGGGTTTTCTTGGCTTCAGTGCTTTATGTTTAGAGGATCAAACACACTTTCTTAGCTCGTATTTCTTCTGCCCTTCCACATCTCCCCAAAGCAGGACCTTCCAGACCAGCAGCCAACCCTGCTCTGCAGAAGTCTTCAGTGCAGAGCTAATTAATACCTGCAAATGGATTGGCCCAGTCCTGCTAATTGGAAGAAAAAAAAAAAAATGAAACAAAGCCAGCTATTTTGGTTGTGTTCTCATAAAGGAAAGCATAAAAACTGCATGGTCCAGCAACACAGGACCAGTATACTCAGCAGGGTCTTGAACCCAGGCAAGACTGAGCAGGAGCCCACAGAGGAACCTCCTCTGCCTCCACAGAACTCATGCAGCCACATGTGGGCTGGGAAGATATGCTGTAGAGATAAAATTCTCACCGCAGCCTCAAGTGTGACTGGAGGGGAAGTCCAGGCCTGCCACATTTTGCTCAAATGATGCTTCCATCACATGCTCTCAGCTCAAGGGCTCCTTTCCTGAAGTTGCTGTAGCAGGGATTGACAACTGCAGGCAATGGAGGTAATGGGTTTGAACCATTTCCTGTGCTGATCCCACAGAGCTGCTGAGGACTTCAGTGACACAGATGAACGATGCATCCCACAGACGACCATTCCTCCAAGCAAGACCCCATAGCCAGCCACTCTGCTCTGACCCTGCCAGGCAAGACCATCAACACAAGCTATATTTTAGAGCCTAAATCTCAACCCAGCTGAAACACCATTTTGCAGCTTGTCATGATGAGGACAAAAAGGCAAATGTATTCAAATGAGTGGAGATCCCCTATGCACGCTGCTGGAGGAGACAGGGATTTACCAATGAGTGGTGGGGAATGTTATGGGGTTGGACTTCTGGGTCATTTTCCATCTCTGGAAATGCTGCAGCGCTTCTTTGGAGAGCTGAAATAGCACACCAGTCATTTCAGCACCTGGGGAATAACTAACTCCTGCTTAAGTGCTCTAGGATGTGGCATAAAAAATGCAATTTCTAGTGGTAGATTACAAAGTTTATTAGCGTAGCCTCCAAGGGTCACTCGAACATGCTGAATCAAGGGCAGCACTGGAACCCCTGAAGTGATCTACATCTTTATTTATTCTTAAGGCATTCCTGTGGCTTAATTTTTCCCTTGATTATATAAAAGCAATAAGAAACTTTGTATTTGCTGGTTTGTATATTTCTTTGCACTTCAAAGTTAAGAAGCATTCACTGATATTTCTTCTGTTCCCCAAAGTCTGAGTTGTATTCAAGGAAAAGCATTAGTAAAACTCAGAGAAAAACATTTAATTTGGTATTAACAAGAACACAGATCCCAGAAATGCTACTGAATAATGCATACTCTAAAAGAAGCTTCTTTATACAGTGCGCTTTAAAGGTGAGATGGCAAAATTTGCACAAAGATTTTAAATTTTCATAGTTGAAGCTTTGGCCTTTGGTTTACACCCACTGATATTTTAAGGGCTCACAAATGTCTCTTGATGCAGCTTGAAACAGGTCCTTTCTATTTGCAGTGCAGCTGTGCTTTATTCCAGGCCATCCACTGATGATGCAGGAGCTCTTCACAGAACAAAAAGGTTGTTTTCTCCTTCAGAGCCACTGAAAACTTTTTCAAGGTCTTCAGCTGGTCTAAGGCTATAGTAATAAGCACAGATCAGTATGTATGGGGCAAAAGTACTTTGATGCTTTAGAGCAACCTTTCTTATTTGCAATGTTGGCACATTCCCCTTGAAACAGAGACCAGAAGCTACTGAGTCCATTGATTTCAATGGCAAAAGGTCTACTTATTTACACTATGAAGTATTTACCTTGCACGCATCATTCTAACAATTAGGAAAGGCCTGCTCAGATCTTATAGTGACAGCTGCCAGATAAACACTATGGGGTTCAGAAAGGAGCCTTTCCTTGGCCCCCAGCCCTCACATCTTAGTGTAGTATGCACTGGGAGACAATCTACTATTTAAAAAGTATTGGTACTGGCAAAGGGTGATACTCCAATGGACAGCCCTATTTGGTTAGAAAAAGTCCTGTGTTCAAGCCAAGCCAGAAAACATGAGCTTATTAGGAATATGTGCCCTGGGTGATTCATCATACCTAAATATTCCACATCTGTTTCAAAATGATTACCTCAGTGGTTACCTGCTATACTTCTGTGTGATTCAAGGAGGATGTGACTGGGTGCAGTGACCCCATGAGGGCTGCAAGATTTACCCACTGGTGGAAGGTTTGGTTTGCCATGCTGCTGCACTGTGCCCCTCCTGGGCCCTTTTTTGTTTTTGGGGTTTTTTTTTTTGTCTACTGGAATGGACTGCTACTTCATGGAGGACTGTCTGTAAATCTCTGATCCCTTTCTGAGCCAAGATGAGCAAATGAGAAAAAAAAAACATCATTTTTTCCCACTGTTTACATCTTGCTTGATTTAAACCAGCCTCACCAGGCTCATGCACTAGGATTTACCCTGTCTGTGGCAGGGATGATCGTTAAGGCCTCTCCCTATACCATTCTATGATTCCATTTGGTCGAAGAATAATGCAGGCAAGGAATTTTCTTAAGGTGGGGTCACTGTGTCCCAGTGTTGGCTGCTAACCTTCCCCAGTGCTCTGGGTATCTGTTCAGTACTACATATGGGAAGTTTCCAGGAACCACTGTTTGATTTTCTGGGGTGAAGTTGTCTGAAAATTTACCTTATCAGCCCCACAGACCAGTACTGTACCCGTTACAATTAGTGGTAAATAATTTCTGTTTCTAAGAAAAAAAATACGTTGGAACTTTTAATAGAAAATTATAAAATGGATTACCTTTTCATAATAAATTTCCTTGTGTGTCTTCCTAGAAGCAAAATCATATTGTTACAATGACAAAAAAGAAATCTACCATTCTATCAAATCAGTCAAATGAGTTCAGAAGCAAAGACACCAAGCTGCAACATTTCTGTGAGCTAAGCAGGAAAGAAAGGATCTCATTCTAAGCTACATCAGTGTTCACCAGGAGCAATTCCAAGGAACTATAGGACCACATTACTAAGAATAAGAGCCCTCAGTGAGAATCAGAACTTGACAAGCGATGGGTTCTTTGCACAGGTTTCCTCCTGTTGCATCCCTACCTCATCCCCATGGTGACACAGTCCTGGGCTACGGACAGCAGCTCCACAAAATGAACTGAGTGCTGTTATACAGTCCATGGCAGATCTACCAGAGGATTCATCAGAGATACAGAAGGATATCTGCATTAGGCCACCATTGGAAATATTAAAAAATAAAAGTGCTTAAGTGGTACTTACGCTTCCAAAGTAACGATAAGAGTATCAACATTAAAATAATGAATATCCCTATGAGAGATACGGTGAGAATGGTGGAGATGCGAAACTGGAAAAGAGAAGAAAAAAGTTAAGAAGTCTTTGAAAGCATTTCTGCATCAGAGGTATCCATGCAGAAGTCAGCTCCAGGCTAAGAGCTCTGTAATATCTGCATGAGGCTGAGTTTGCAACACTCTGCTCAGCTTGCCAGAAGAAGACACATCAGGTTGATCATGATAAACAGCATGAACTGCCTGTTAAATATTTAATAAACTCTGAATGCTCTGAAGCATTTAAGCTTAAATGCATCCCATTAAACATGAACTCAGTAAGTCTATAGGAGCTTAGTCACCTTCATCTTTCTCTAAGCTAGAGACAGGGAAATGCAGGGAAATCCCCCTCCTGAAGGGGCCTCTTTCCTGCTCTCACCCAGAGGACAGCACCTCATGCAGAGGTGTTGGAGGAATGAGGAATTTTTTGAAGTGCCCGAACCAGATGGGATTGCTGCAGGTTTTAACACAACCCACAGGATCAGCAGAAGGTGAATAGATGGTTCCTGAGCTTCTGCACAAAAGTCCAGGCTACTGTTTTGCAAAGATCATCTGTTTGGCATCAACACATTGAAAAATCACCAGCCCATCCTGCTGGCCTGGCTTCTCATTAGTCAAACGCTCGTGAAACTTACAGAAAGTTTCATCCCAGCTTTCTCTGTATTGCTGGCTGAACTCAGTGTAGTCCCTGGAAACAGAAGAGAAATAAATTATCAAAGGCACAGTCCTCTGAGGGTGGGAGGGCTACTGTGCAAAGTCTGGCCCCGAGTAAGAGAAACGTAGCACCTCAAAACCAGAAGTTTACAATCTCTTTCAGCCACAAACTGTATACAGGCAACCATCAGGAAGTGTCAGCCTTCATCAAGGAAATAAGAGGCTTCCAAGGGACAGCCCATGAAGCAGGACAGAAGAAATTTGTCTCTCGCAAGAGAATTTTTACTTCCATAAGCATGATAAAATATAGCAGAGAGCACAGGTAGTTAGCAAGGCACAAGTTTAACTGGAGGAGCTGCCTCTGCTTATTTGTGGTCAGAGCTATGTGTGGTTGCTTTAGCTGGAAACCACAGGAAATACCTTAACGTTAAGATAACTTACCACATATCTAAGGTAGCTCTATCAAGATGATGCTTTGGTGTGTCTCCTTTCTTTCTTTCTCTTTTTTTTTTAATCTTAGCTTATTAAAAATAATTCAGTTGTTCTGGTTTTCTTAGCCTTGGGCATAGGAATGAACTAAACGAATGCTCAAGAAATCTTGCAGCAAACTTATAGGCTGCTGTCCTCTGATCCTACTATCTTGATTTTGGCTGGTGAACTTAAAGCCACCGAAAAATTAACCTGAACATGGCCTGTGCTCATCATGATCTCATGCTATAAAATACTGAAGTATTTAAGTATTTGAAACTCTTGATCCCTCATAGGAGGCACCAATGCTGATCAGCATCCCAAAGACAGAAGAGTGTCTTAGCTAAGCAAACTGAAGTAGCAGCTTATCTCAGGACAGGAGAGGTTCTGTGCATTAGGTCATACCCTAACGTATAGAAAGACTCTGATGAGAAGTGCTTCCAAGGGTCTGACAAGGGAACAACCATGGAGCCTCTGTATTAGCAAATGCACTGGGGACCAGATGAGTCACTTGACAGGGCATGTACATGTAGCACACTTATAGTGTCCCAAACCACAGCTGAAGGAAACACTGCATGCATGAGGCTCACAGAATGTCACCCGGCAGCAGGGCTGATCAGGCAGTCACAAGTAACCCCACTAGAACAAATCTGCATGTGTTTTTTCTTTTCCTCCAGTAGATAACTCTCCTATCTCCCCCAGATATCTCAGTTCAGATCAGCTTACCTATGACAGCTGAGCTGCTTTGTTTCCATCTACCAAAGCACGTGTTTGAATGTTATCAAAGACATAGACAGGACACAGGTAGCTCACATGCACGCAATTTTAGCAACAGAAATTTCCATTTAAGTAGAAAGTAGATTCTGGTGAGTAACAAATACAGGATATCTCACTCTGGCACACATGTCCCATAGGTCAAAATTAGATTTTCTGGCAGCGAACCACAACCTGCTTGGTGGAGCAATTATTGGTGCCTCCTCCCCATACCTGAAGGACCGAGGGTTGACTTTGGTGTTTGAAATGTGGTTGGCTCTCGCAGGGCCATTGCTGGGGAAATCAGGCAAAGACAGAAGAGAAACTAAATGAGAACCTGCTCAGCAGGAACCAAACACCCAGCTAGCCCAATCTGTCTGGCAAACGCTTGTGAGAAATTAACTAACAAAAACAGACGAGGTTCTGTCTGGACTTGGCTTATAGCACAGCTTCACCGAACACAAACTGGGCACCATCCACCTTGTTTTCAATTCTCAGGTAGATTCTCAATACCTCTGAAACATTACAGTAAAATGATACCCATGCAAGAACATGTTTTTGTTGTTTTTTGTTGTTGTTGTTGTTTTTAATGAAGATACTATGTTTAACTATGCTGCAGCATTTGCAGACACGTGGCAGTTTTGTTGTTGGAAATAGCATGACAAGTTTTTGCAGGGGTGGGAGCTTGCATGATTCACATAGCATGGTACATTGCCTGCTCTTACTCATTTAGTGACAGCTCTTTCCAGCCCACGGTTTCCTCCTGAATCCCGGAGGTAAGCCTCTTTCCAAGACTTCCTATTTACAACAACAGATCACGGGCATTATCCAGAATTATATAAAAAAGATGAGAAGCAGAGTAGTGCAAGAAATGCTCACATATGCTCAAGAGATCAGTTAAGCCTCTTTCATGAGCCTCCACGGGCATTCAAGGAATGGTTTCCTAAACTGTTTCTGCTGCAAGTCACTAGACCTATCAAAAGGAGATCTGCAAAAACCTAAATACTGTGTGAGCAGTGGCCTCTCCTAACAGCCAGATATGACACCATCCTTGAATTTTAGTTTTCCATTTTTAAAGTCATCACTTCCAGGTGTCTGATGGACACGTTCTGACACCTGAACAACGGTCTGGTTTTTGTTTGTACTTGACTAGCAGCCATGAAGTGCAAACTTCATGAGAGTTTGTTCATTTCTCAGGTCTGTCATGATTTTGTACCCCAGTTCCTTTTCTCTTGAAGGACTGACTGATGGTTGTGGTAATTGCCTGCTGCTTTCCATCATCATCAGGAGCACACAGTGGGCATGGGAGAGCTGAGCCTGCAGCCACATCTGGCAGAATCCGTTCAGTGATGACATTCAGGGAGTGTTTGAAACAGAAAGCTCAGTGGATTCACAATAATGACAGGTGAGATATCTGACAATTCAGTTTGGATGGTGACAAAGAGAAGTTTTTACTTCAGACCCGAGACTCAAGTGCTCAAAACCTGCTTCCTTCGGAGGCCTTGAAAACATGCTGTTTCCTGTTGTTTCATCCTGATTTCAGACAACTACTCTGTGTACCTCAAACCCTCCTCACTGACACATGCAACAAATAGCTATTGGTAAATGTTTGGTACACTCTTAAGAACAGTCAATACTTCTGTTTATGACAACTTCATCATTTCTCTGAGCATGCGACATCTGACCTTCCAGTGTTATTGTGCTCACCTACAGTTGGCACATCATCTGTCCAGAGAAAAGTGGCCTCTTCAGTTCCATCTGCAGTCAAAAGTATACTTGGGAATTCAGAAGTCACTGAAACAAAATAAAAGCCACTGCTCATAAAGATCACTGCTTAGGGGGTTATTCGTATGGTGTTCAGAATTGCTCATGCAATTCTGCATCTGCTAAGAGGCAAAACTGAACCACCATTCTCACGTCTGCAGCTAATCTGCAGTAAAAGTAAAAGAGTAAAAGACCTTTTCAGTGGAGCATTTCAACAGGCTTTCCCAAATAAAGAAATGGAGTAGTGCAGGCATCAGTGAGTCTCCCAAACCAGGTGTAAATTTTGCATTTATTTCTATTGTACTTGATGGGGTTTCTATCACCTAATTTTTCCAGCCTGCTAAAACTGCTCTAAAGGAAAAGACAATCCCTTGTTCTCTTGACCATTCTCCATGGTTTGGCATCAGTCACAACATGTGACCTCCATTTCCTTGGACATAATATCTACAGGCATACCCATAAGCATCTCAGAGAAACCTTCCAAGCTACAATTAATTATTTGTCTTTGGAAAGTTGCTATGATGCCTGAGTCATCTTAACATGAAAAATCTCTGTTACACAAACAAAAGAAAGCATTTTTGTTGGTTATTTTTGTACCTCTGGGAGGAGAGACTGGCTGTGTTGAGCAGAATACACTTTCACCTTCAGTCCACGCATCACTTGTTTGGAAATCGGTTGAAAAATCTGGGGGAGCACTGGTAGTCACTGCTTTTTCCAGAAAGTTATTGCTTGTTGTCTTATCAAAAGTTGGGGGTGACCAGGTGGTTGTAGGCCCTGCTGAGGGGACAGCAGCCCATGTGGTTGCTTGAAGATCAGGAGTTTCTTGGGCAGCAAAAGTTGTTGTTCCAAAATGGCTGGGGGAAGTGGGAGGTTTTCCCGTGGTTGTCATCACTGGAGGTGCTGTGTGGAAAAATTAACCAAAAGAAAAGGTGGACCTCAGCATTCACAACTCACCTTGAGGAAAGTCACTTAACCAAATTAATGAAAATGATCCATTTATTGTGATCATTGTGATTGAAAATTGTGATTGAAGGCGAAAGAATTTTTTTTAAATAGTTGTCTAATCAGCAGAAAACAAGCCTCAGGTGAGCAATTCCCAGTGCTCTGGGTTTGATTTTGTATTTTATTTTTATTTTTTTGCAGGTTTCAAACATTCCCTCTCTGGCCCTTTCACAGAATGGAAGGACTGGAACCTTGAATTGCAAATCTCCTAAATGTGCAGAACATTATTGCTCTCCAATGTCCTCCTAAAAGTAAAGACACTGAGACCCTCAGTCATTCTAGATAAAAAGTTTGATTTTCAGCCACAAGTTTCTCATCAGTTCTTTCAACCAGTCCTTTATTTTTTAAGAACTTTTGCCTTCAGACTAGGAGATAGCCATGCGATTGCAGCATTTTTGCCCCACTCTCCAGATACATTGCTTACAACAGGCATATCTAGAGCTCTGTGTACACCAGCATCAATTGCACTCCAGAACAACCTCCTGTAAAGACAAGAATAATTGCTCTTTCTGCAGTAAGGCTGGTGGCTACCATCTTTTCCCTGTGCTTCGCAATGCTTTTCAGCCTCTTCTTGGCTTTGCAATATCTTAATTTTTAACATGCAGCTTGGTCAAATAAGGGAAAAGTAATTTGAAAACCTAAGACAAAATTTCTGTACCTGGGTAAAATTAGTAAAATCAAACCAGTCTTTAGTATTCGATGAATACCAAATGAAAAATTGGATTTAATTCCAATTCCAAGGGTTCTTCTGATGATTCCAACTTCATTTAAATCCACAAATATAGTTGTGAAATGAAAAATTAAACATTTCATTTGAAAGGAAAGATAATTCAAGTAATGATTTTCTCATCAAAGGTGCTCAATGACTTTGATTCAAATGGGCAACTGGTTTCAGCCCTCCTCTGAAAACATCGATACATCAATAAAAACACCTTCCATCAAAACCAAACAGCCAAACAGACACAACTGGGTTTTCACCTCTCCTGCAGTGTTGGGTTTCTCCCCGGCGTATAAAACCCCAGAACTCACCTCTGAGCACCACCAGCTGAATGTTCTGCTTGATGTCATTAAACCAGCCCGGGATCTCCACGCGGCAGCAGTATGTGCCCGCATCTTCTGCCTTCAGCTCCTGAATTGTCAGAGACACATCTCCATAGGAAACGTAGCCCTGCAGGTTGTACCGCTGCGATGTTCTGAACGTCACCCTGTTCCCAGTGGTGTGCAGAAGTTTGTTGTTACACTTGGAGTTTGGGCACGGGCCTCTGCCCCAGCACATGTCAGAGATGTCCTTCTCTCGTGCCACCCGGTAGGAGCAAGGCAGTGTGACAGGTTGTCCCATCATTCCTCGAACAACAGTTTCTGATGCGGTGTTCATTGCTGAGGAAGAACAGGAATGAGAAATTTTGGCAGCCTCAGCTTCAGGTCTCTGCCTGTGCAACACAATGTGGCAGGAAAAGAAGCAGCACAGCCTGCAGAGCTCAGTGCTGTGACCCAAGGGACTTCCTTGCAGCCTATGGCAGCTTATGGCCCAGGGCAGGGTGGGCAACAGCCAGGAGTTCACGGATGTTGGCTCCTTGCTGCTGCTGGAGGGCTCCATTCTTGAGCCCCAGCCAACTGCTGTGGGCTGCTCACAAGGCACATCATCCATAAAACTTTTTGATTCTGCATTGACTTTTAGGAGCCACACACTTGGGTTATGTGACCAAGTGTGTCAAATGTGTGATGACAGAAGCTGAGGTCTGTTGCGGATGGCCTAAGCACAGATAAAAGCTGCGCAAATGGAATTTGGGAATTCAGCTCCCATCCCATGCCCTCTCTCGAGACATGTATTTTCATTTTGCCTTCATCCTTTTTTTCCCAATACCCATTCCTCCCTCATTTTTTTCAGTTTCTCTCCCCACTACTCTTCCCAAAAATAAAAAGGAAGGAAGAGCAGTTTAGCAGGAATACCCAAAAATACACATGTACAAGTACACAAAGTGCATATCTCACTCTGGCACACATGTCTTTATTATGTCTCTCACATTAGACTTTCTGGCAGTGAGCCACAGCCCACTTGGTGGAGCAACTGTTGGTGCCTCCTCCCCATACCTGAAGGACTGAAGGTTGACTTTGGTGTCTGAAGTATGGTTGGCTCTTGCAGGGTGGTTGCTGGGGAAATCAGGCAAAGGCAGAAGAGAAACTTAAATGAGAGCCTGCTCAGCAGGAACCAAACACCCAGCTAACCCAATCTGTCTGGCAAACGCTTGTGAGAAATTAACTAACAAAAACAGACGAGGTTCTGTCTGGACATGGCTAACAGTGCACCTCCACCAAATGAAAATAGGGCACCATCCACCCTTTCTGTCACCTTATTTCTTCAGCCTGTTAACATTCCTCTGAAGACAGGCTCAGTCACCTATTCTCCTTATCATTCTCTCTGCTGTGGCACCAGCCACAACATCTGACTTGCACGTCCATTTTGATAAGGGCAGTGAGACACTGGCACAGGTTACCCTGTGAGAGAGGTGGTGGTGCCCCATCCCTGCAGACAGCCAAGGTCAGGCTGGAGGGGCTCTGAGCAGTGATGGAGCTGTGGGTGTCCCTGTTCATTGCAGGGGAGACAGATCAGATGGTCCTTTAGGATCTCTTCCAACTGTTATGATTTTGTGATTCTAAAACATACTATCTATATGCATATTCAAATGTTTCAGATAAACCTTTCAAGCTACAGTTAGTTATCTGTTCCTTTGAATCTTTATGATACCTGATTTGGGCTAACACAGACAATCTCTGTTACACAGACAAGTAAAGAATTGGTGCTGGTTACTTTGGTACCTTCAGGAAGAAGGATTAACTCTGTCGAGTAGGAGATGCCATCACCGTCAGTCCTCACATCAACTGCTTGAAAACTGGCTGAAAAATCTGGGAGAGCACTGGTTGACCCCGCTTTTTCTAGAGAAGTGTCACTTGCTGTCTGATCAAACATTGGGGGGAAAAAAGCAGTTGTTACTCTCGGAGACTCAGTGGTTGCAGAAGCTGCTGGGGGGACAGCGGTTGCCAGGAAGACAGCAGTCTGCTCTGTTCCTTGAAGATCAGAGGTTGTTTGGGGTGCAAAAGTTGTTTTTCTGAGACGTTTTGTGGATTTGGAACCATTTTTCTTAGGTTTTTTCTTCACTGAGGTTGCTGTATAGAAAGATTGTAACCAAGAGTTAAGCTGAATTAGAGCATTCTTTGAGGAAAGCCAAATGATAATTTACCAAAAATCATCTACCTACTTAAATACTGTGGCTTAAGTAAGGAGAGTTGCTGTTTAAATTTACTGCCTAATTAGCAGAAACCAAGCCTGAGGAAGAGCAAAGCCCACATTTGTGGGTTTGATTTCTTTCTAGGCTGCAAGAAGTTAGTCCTTCACACACACAAAGAAACAAAAGAACCAGAATCTTTTATGGCTCAAAAGTCCGGAGAAGACCCCAGAACTCACCTCTGAGCACCACCAGCTGAATGTTCTGCTTGATGTCATTGAACCAGCCCGGGATCTCCACGCGGCAGCAGTATGTGCCCGCATCTTCTGCCTTCAGCTCCTGAATTGTCAGAGACACATCTCCATAGGAAACGTAGCCCTGCAGGTTGTACCGCTGCGATGTTCTGAACGTCACCCTGTTCCCAGTGGTGTGCAGAAGTTTGTTGTTACACTTGGAGTTTGGGCACGGGCCTCTGCCCCAGCACATGTCAGAGATGTCCTTCTCTCGTGCCACCCGGTAGGAGCAAGGCAGTGTGACAGGTTGTCCCATCATTCCTCGAACAACAGTTTCTGATGCGGTGTGCACTGTTAAGGAACAAAGAACTGAGAGTAAACGTGTGCTTTGTAAAGTGAGAGTAAACTGAGAGTAAATGGTGACAAAAGCTCAAGACTGTTGCTGATGACCCAAACACAAATTGCACGTGTGCAAATGCAATTTGGGACTTAGGCTCCCATCCCACTGCCTGTTCTCAGAGATTCTTTGAAAGTTGTTCAGAAACCTGGTTTGAAACTCAACTGGTGTTCTCAGTTCACTATCACCTCCTTTGAACAAAAAGTTCTGTCACGGCTGCCTTTCCGTGACAGACTCAATAGCAGGGGCCAAATTACCTACTCTTGCATGAAATTAGGTCCTAATTAAGTTGGCAGAGTGGTGCGATCTGCCTATGGGAATCTGTTGTTATTAAGCTCTCTCAGTCCCTGAGCAAGCCCTACCAACTCTCAGTTACCTGCAGACCTGTGTTCACAGGAGCTTTAACAGCTATTGTTAAACCAGTGTTAAAAACAACAGATGCAGATTTTAATTGTGTTTTTGCTCCTGATGACCAGCTCTTCTTTGGGTTTACAGCCAGTACCCACCTTAGCATCTGGTTTGAACCTTTGTCATTATTCCCTCTTAACTTTCCATGTAATTTCCAGATTGCCCTGCAAGTTATTTCTTTCTCATGAGAGACACTACACAAAAATAAAAGTTTACATATGGTGATAAATCTCCTATGGTTTACGTTCATTCTGTCTTTGTTGCTCCTCCTGCCTTGCTGACTTTTCCCCATGTTATCATTTACACACAGTAGAGAAAGAACGGAGGGACGTGGGGAGCATCCAGATCTGGTCCTCTGCTGCAGCAAGAGGATCACCCCACAGATCTGATAACTTATGGTCTGTTTCCTTACCCCAAAGAGGACTTAGAGAAGTGCTGCTGTTATCACCAGCTCTGACACTGGTTTGCCAAACATTTCTATTCTGCCAGCTGTTTAAATGTCTTTTCTTTTTGGCGTGACTCCCAGATAGCAAACAGAGATGCTGCCAATTGTGTCCATGTCTCTCTTGTTTTTTCTTCAATGGACTATTCCCCAGGTGAGGCTTTAGTCTGTGGCAGGCTGCCCCATGACTTGTTATTCGGATGACATTTCAGCTTCATTATCGCTTATCCCATTGGCAAGATAAGTTGACTGGTTCAGGTTTCCACTGCTCCAAATGCTAAAAGAGTAGGAGTAGACAAAACCAACATGCAGTATGGCATGAAGGGCAGAAGTTTCAGCAGTGAAACAAATGAAGAATTTGGAAAAAAAGAAGGGAAAAAAAGAGAGAATTTCTGTTCTGACTACAGCATAAAGCTTTGCAAAATGGCTGCTTGTTTTACTGCTTGGAAACAAGTAAGTTCATTTGTCTTGTTACAGCAGAGCAGAGAAAACAGACTCTTTTGGTGACAAGAGAACAAAATAATTCATCTGATAGGCCTTGAAAGTAGAGAACCATGAGGTGAGCCACTGGAGCGGTTTAACATATATTTTCAAATCAACCCCAACAATGATGTATGTAAAACCAAGACCAGCTTGAACTATTCCTGCAGGTGACATCGCTGCAGTTTGAGGATGAACAGACATATCTTCTGCTCTTGTTTCATCCCAGTCTTGCACAATGCAAAAGTAGCTTCATTAAGCAACTCTTTAACAAATGAAATTCTGCCTGCTCTTCTCTTCTTAATAAGCTCGAGTCTCTGCTTATTTAAAAAAAAAAAAAAAAAAAAAAAAAAAAGAAAGAAAGAAAGAAATGAAGAAGAAGGAAGACACAAGGCACCAGAATGTCTGCAGGGCAGTTTCCCACAAGTACTGGTGCTAGGAAGTTATATTTTTTTGCAGTTTCAAGTCCTCTTTTAATTTATGTGACACTAATGTTCTTAACATCTGCCTGCACTGCAGGTTAGCAGGGAAAGCTTCAATACCACAACCATCTTTCTTCAACACAATGAACCTCTTAGCAAGGACCATGTAATTTCTTTCTCAGCTGCAGACTCTTTCACAGACACATTTTCCAGAAGAAATAGCAAACAGGATTGAATTTAAATACTTTTGAAATTAAGAAAGAATTTCCTGACACGGTTCCATCCTGACACCCTAGGTTGTTTTTGTCCATGGCAATGACCTGCCCAGCCAACCAGTCTTGACCCAAGGCACTCTGAGCATCAGCTGAGCCTGGGCAGGCCCACTGAAGTCTGTGAGCTTTGTCACTCTGAATCTTTAATCCAAGTGAGAGAGAAATGCACTCCAGATATTTATCATATACTCCAAGACAGGAATGTATTCATAATTGTTTAAATCGTATGCATATACACATATTTACATACAGATTCTCTTGGAACAACCCTCAATGATAGATTAAGCAGTGTAATTGCTGTTGTAATGGTTTTATCTTATGTAGACTGGCCATTGGATGGACAAAAACACGCAAGACAGCTGGCTGAAAAAATAAGCTTTTTCCTTGATCTGTTTCAGGGATAGTTTCTCCTTTCTTTCTTTTTTTTTTTTTTGGATAAGACAATTGATATCTTTTCCATATCAATTTTATTTTTTATTTCTCCTTAAAACTTTTGCAGTAATGAGGCTTCAAAGACAACATCCTGTACACCAGAAAGAAATATTTAACTTGAGCCTGAAAGTACAGGCCTTTCTCAGTGCAGAGCTGGGCTGAAGAGAGGGCAGTAACAAAAAGTCATTCTCATCCTTCAGTAGCTCTGCATAAAAAAAGTTTTTGAAAACAAGAGCAAATGGATACCAGTCCCTCCAATTTATGCTGAGGATGAACGTATGGCAAGGAAAGAGACCTCCTATTTCTTCTGCTGAGTCTGACAGAAGAGCAAAAATATTATGGAATTCCCAGGCTACATCACTGCACCACTTGCACAGCAGACACCTCAGTGCATTCCACCACCTACCAAAATCTTTCCACTACTTTTTAAAGTGAATTAAGGACAGTGCAACTGCTCTCATTATTATCTTGGATATTTCATCCTAGTAGAGGTTAGTCGGTTTAATATTTAATCATCTAAAGCAGCATTTCCTGAAATGTTGGAGTGATTTACAAGCACAACTCTCACTAGGAGCTCGGGCCTCACTGGAAGTGGGTGAAGACATGTTTCATGAGCCAATTCATTCAGCTTCATTCATTGAGATTCATTTAATTCATTCAGCAATTTGGAAATTGCATCACTGATGCCTAAATGTGCATGCAGAAATTACAGCTATTTCTTTGAGGATCCAGATTTTAGATGGGCAAACTCTCAACATTTGCATTTAGAAGGAGAGTAATCTCCAGCCGTGCTTTTCTTCATGGTTGGACTAGATGATCTTAGTGCTCTTTTCCAACCTTAGTGATTCTATGATTCCTGTGACAATGTTCAAAGCAGCAGACAGTCCTCAGCATTTAGGAAAATATTGTCTTTATCATGTATATAAGTTCATTATGCAATCAATATTTCAATTCCCTGGCTTGGGTTGTGTCTGCCTTGGGTTGTGGAGGAGATGCAGATAGAGAAACAAAGCTGGCAATACATGTTTAGCAGCAGTAAATAAATCAGATAATTTGGGGGACAAAGCAAACTAACAAAGCATATAGATAGAAGAAACTAGATACGTTTTTTAAATTAAAACAATAACATCTTGAGATGTTAACTAACTCTGTAAGTTAACTCTACAAGTTAAAAATATTTTTTGAAGTTCTGTATACAGTTACCTCCTTTTTCCCTGTGATGCACACATATATGGGTAAAACAAGTGCTGCCATTAAAATTTTTGTTCTCTGAGCAATCCCACAGTCAAGCAGGCGAAGACTCACCTATAAAGGTCTGCATCACAATCCAGCGAAACAGCACAAAATGGGACATTTTGGCTGACGGCGACCCAAGGTCAGTGAGCGGAAGGAGAGAAAACCAGACCTTATAGCTGCCATTAAAGATGCTGAGTGAGCCCAACTGAAGTTTCGTTTCTCCATTTCCAGATTTTACATACCGCAATTGCTTCTGTTTTCCGGATAGGTCCCTCTCCCTTTCCAAGACACAGAGCGTGGTATTACCGTCGCAGTTCAAAATTGTTGTGGGTTTTTCTTTTTTTTCCTTTCTGTGAATTCTTAAGATTGATTACTGTTACGTGGTACTGAGCAGCAAGAAAAAACTCTGTGCTCTTACAGTCTTAAGCATTTGGCTTAATCTTCACCTGTGCTTAAGATTTCCTAATCCCTTTTTTGCTCTTGATTCTGCTTTCTGCTTCAAGACCCCCCTACATCTTTTTTCTGCTTCATATTTTCCTCATCCTTACTTGTTAGGTGATGATCTGCATCAACTACCAGTCCAGTGTTTTCCTTAGACTTCCTCTTGCCATTGACATACTTTAAAAAGCCTTTTTTGTTGACTGACACCACACTGATCACTGTCAGCTGAGGCTGTGCTTTGACTTTTCTTGTTCCTCATTGCAAACGCAAATTGTAGATAGACAAAATTCTGTGCAAGTAAAATGTAATGCAGTGCAAATGGAGAAAACAATTGTAAGTTCAAATAATAAAATGATGGGCTTTGAACAGACTCTACCCCTCAATATAGGATTTAGGCCTCATCAGGCACAGTACCATGAAAATATTACCTCTAGGCTTGGTAACACGTGGGGGGGGGGAAGGGGGAAAGCATATTTTAGCAATTATTATTAAATTCCATATTCTCTATTAATAAGCTATCTATTCATTGAAAAGAGAACAAATCAGAAGACATCATTACACCTCTACACAAGTTCTACTTTGTATCCCATCATTAGTTCTAGTTCCCTCTACTTAAAAAAAAGCATATATTAGAACCAAGAACAGTTTGAGGAAGGCCAAAAAGAATGGTGAAAAAAAAAAAAAGGAAGAGCTTCCACAGTTGGAATAAGTGAATGGTCCATATCAAGTCAGCCTGGAAGAGATACAGGTCTACAAAATCTTGAGTGGCATAGGAAGGTTGGAAAGAGATGAACTTTTCGATACCATCCCCACTCCCAACATAGCATGAGAGAATGATTCCTATGTTTGCAGACCTGTTGACATCCTCATCCATCACACCACCATGTTATTCATGGCAAGAAGTAGATCCCCAGTAGACTAGATTGCAGCTAAGCCAGAATGCCTTGCTTCTTTCACCAGCAGATAGCCATCCAATGCTGCAATAGACAGTTCAGTGGCAGATTCAAGGAGCACAAATCTCAAAGAACTCTTCTGAGTTTATTCTGAAGGGATGCTTCAGTGTAGCATAACAGCAATCAGTAGGAATAGACACAACAGTAGTATCCTATTGTCAATACCATAAGGCACTTTAGCCAGCAATCAGTAAAATACCTGACTGGCAGTGTTCTACCAGGTACAACTCATACAATGCCAAGTACGAGCAGCTCCAGCTGTTCTGTGAAGATCTGATGAAGCCTAACGTGTTCAATATCCCAGATACTTTTCCTCTACAGCAGGTCCTAGCTCCTCCTTCCTCTCCTATCACTCACCATCACACAGTGATCATGAGCCAATGCTCAGCTAATGCCAATGCAAGGAGCAGCTGAATCCCACCTGGGACACTAATTTGGGTCTTTATCCAGCTACTAATTTCAATGAAGTTTCTCAAATCAGGATTAGCCAGCCTGTTCTAAACAACTAGGGAAGGAAGAGAGAAGCATGGCATCATTCAGCTTTGTTTCCTTACCAAGACGGGGCATTGAAAAAGGCCATCCAGAATCCATCAGATTCAAGTATGCTGGGAAGAACCAGAAAAACATGCCTTGCTTTCTGTATCTATACTGCTATCTAGTGGCTTCTTGCAGGCAGAAAAGGAAGGACAGACTGCTCTGCAGCTTGTTAGCTCAGTAGGCTGTCAGCTGTGTGCAGTTGGAAAACCTCTTAATGGGTGAATAGGCTCAAATGCCACCTGTACAACTCTGGGGATCATTTTGAAATACCTATTCTAAGATGCACCGACATGAGTGGACATTATTTTGCATCAAAACTCTCTGATACAAAAATAAGTCTGAATTTGTCTGTAATACCAAGGAAAAAACTCCTAATGGGCAAGTACCTTTCATTATCAGCAGACCTCAGACTCCTTAAAAGTACAAATGGCTGGAATCAGATGGTTTTGGAAACCCCTCACTTCTTGTCTGAATCCCTGTGAAGATTATTAATTTGGCAAAAGCTTCAGGAAGCAGAAATTGCTGAAGATATTTTCTGAGCTCTGGTTCAGAAATCAGGTCAGACTTCCTCCAGCTCTGGCTATGGGCCAGAACTGCCCACAGCAGTGACCTGTCAACCAACCAGACAGAAAGCAATGTCTACAGAGGGGCTACTACTGATGCTAGATTAGTAGTTATTGCTAATAGTCGAACAAATAAATACAATCTTAAACTAACAGAACCACTCTAGTCTCAGTATCTTCTTATACAAGGCAGCAGATGACATGAAGAAAGCAAATGGCAGAGCTGGTTGCCAATTGAGGACAGGAGGTGTAGCTGCTCCACTGACCTCAGCTCCCCATAACAGCACAACCAGACCATGACCAAGTGTCTCAGCTGTTAACATAACATCTACTGACTCTATTATTGTTCCTTTATGCCTTAATGGTTGACGTAGCTTTGTTGTATGCACGGCTCCTTTGTAAATAATCTTAATGACAACGTTAGCTCTAAGCCTGCTGCCCTTTATGGCAGCAATGTGTGCTTTAGGTATTGCATGTTGCTGCGTGGGCTGAGCTGCAGGGTGTAATTTGCACCCAGTAATACTTGGTGAGAGCTGGTCGCTCTCCCGCCTGAAAGAGCAGAAAACTACAGAGTAGTTCTGTTTACTTGGTTGCTTTAGAGAGCTGGAAAGGAAATTTTCCACCCTAAGAACATCTCAGGGCAAACAAGGGCCCAAGGAGAAAGCCGCAGCAAGAAAGTGATGCGTTTTGCAGAGGAAAATGCACTTAGTCACACTTCTCTGAAAGCAAGCTGTGAGTATTCCGTAAGCTCCAACAATACCCCCATGAGGGGGTGAGCACCAGCAGCCCCTCCAGCTTCAACCATGGGTAGGCAGGAATTAACACACAGCTGTTATCCAGAATGGGCATGCCCAACTTCAAGAAAAAATTAATGAAAGGTATTTTGACATACGATTACTACCAAGGTTTTCCATCTGTTGTCTGTGCCAAAGCAGCTAAGAGGCTTCTTCCCCCTCAGATGACTGTTTTGTAGCAAGGGATATATTACATGATAGAGACAAATTAAGACTGTGGTCTTCCTTTCGGTGGTTTTCCTTGTGTGATTGAATAGTCATCCTGCCCCTTTCTTTTTTCTGAAAGTTAGAGAGAATCTGAAGCAGACTGTATCATTGAATGGTTTAGATTGGAGGGGGACTTTAAAGTCCATCCAGTCCCAACCCCCTCACCAGCTCAGGCTGCCCCATCCCACCTGGCTCTGAGCATCTCCAGGACAGGGGCATCCACAGCTCTGCATGTGATGGCCTGTCTCTGAGTAAAGAATTTCTTCCTAACATCTGACCTAAATCTCCCCACTTTTAGTTTAAAGCCATTCCCCCTTGTATGTGGTAACTTTCCTTATGGTTTGATAAATGGAATCTGGAAATTTCCATTCAAGCCAGTAGGGTTTCTGTTCCTGGAACAAGCTTGATAAAAGTTTTTAATTAGTATTGTAGCTTTTATTTGCTTTATTAGAATGATATGAGTGATGCTTTAGTAGTCCAGGCACACTTAGCTGCAGAGCAGAGGGAGCAGCTAACATTTTGGAAAATATTTAAAGTCCCAGAGATGACAAAGGAAAGCATGCATACAGTTCTTAGTGTATTGTGTAAATGTTTTCCTCTGCGTGGATCTCAACTTCCAGGGCACTTTGGTTCCCAGCACGTTCTGGTCTCCAAAATGCAACAGAGCTGCACACATGAGTAAAAACAAGGCTGTTAAACAACAGACAATAGAAACACAACAGAGCAGACTGTTAAATGAACCAGCTCACTGGAAAAATTGTAAAATATGCAAAAGCACTTATTTAAATACAACTGATAATGAATCATTTTTCCATTTATGAGACAACCCACACTTGAATTTTCCCTGCTCCCTAATGCACTGAATTGACAGTTAGACTCATTTTTTGTTTATAAACTAAGGATGAGTAGCAGGATTTATTAATTTCTTTTGCAATGTTTCTTATTAATTTGAGATTAAAAGAAAATCAAATTAGAGTATGTACAGTCATCATGCATCTAGCAGGAATCACAGCAACTCCCCGTGGGACTAGTTTGTCCTATTAGCTGAAGCAGAAATAGAATACTTACCTTGCAAACTTACTCAGTTTCTTCATATTGCGTAAATATCCTAAGGATGATCCAGAATGAAAATAAAGAAAAAGAAACATTGTTCTTTAAACCATGCTAAATAAGTAAAGTTACAGGTTTAGCCAAAAAAAAAAAAAAAAAAAAAAGTGCAGGAAACAAAATTAGGGAACTTTAAGCCGAGGTTTTCAGTATAGGAAATCCCCATAAGTTCCATGAAGTTAAATTCATGTGGTTTCATCTGACCAAGAGCATTTAAGGAGAAAGTCTGGCACATGAAAAACACTGGGTATAGTGACATGAAACCAGGGCCTCCTTCCTTATCATTGAGAAGGTCAGGGACAACACAGGCTGTGCCCACGAGGAAAGGAGCAGCGCAGGGGATGTGGGTTTGTACCACGTCTCCTCACCACCTCCAGGTAAGGGGGACATAAGCTCACTTTCATGGCACAGGAGACACGTGTGGCAAAGTCACAGCTGTGATTCAATGTACCCAACCCACACCTGAATAACTGCCTCTGAGAAGTACTTACGTCTACCTAGGAACAGACCCAAACCGAGGATGAGCAGAAACCCCACGCACAATCCAGTTCTGAGGTAAACACTCTTTTCTGAATACTGCTGACTGTGAGTTGATATGGATGAATTCTGTCAAACACAAAACAAATTCATGTCAGACATGGAAAAATTCCCAAATTCATGGACATGTCAAATTCATGTCAAGAGCATAAATCCTATGCAGGACTCAGAGGACATTTGTGCATTTTGTAAAGCTGCAATTAAAATGCACTTGGGAGCAAGAGCCCAACTTGAGATACTAGTTTCAATAATTCACAACACTTGTGTGAACCCTGCTGTTAAATATATTACTCCTTAACACCGTCAAAGAACCTGAGGTTATGACCAGTCCCATTTGTTCACATTTGTTCCTGGTTCCTTTCAGCCCAAGGAAGAAGCCTAATGTTTAATACTGTTTGGTGAATATCTTTATTTAATCATAAGATTAAATATCCCCTGCTGTTTTCCCTTTGCCTCCCTTTTTTGCCAGCTTACTCAGTAGTTATGTGGAGCTTTATCCCAGGATGCGAACCTGCCTTCACCTTTCAACACCTTTCAACTTCTGGAAGCCAGCTGATAGGTATCCAACCACTCCCTAAGAGCTGGGAAGATGCTGAAAGGTAGTGCAGTCCCTGACTTTCTGCACGTGCAGCAATATGAATGCCCACATACATACTACCTTGCAGGACATAACATCAGAGCTTCCCAAATGGTAGCTTGGCTGTCTTGCCTTCCTGACAAAAATTAAGATGATGCTACTGCCCATTAACACACAGCATGAGCTGGAGAACTCAGCAGGGCAGATAGGGCTGTGAGCTTGAACCCCGTACACACGTGTGGCAGGTAGATCCCTGTGCTGTCATGTGGTCCATTTTTAACCCTTCCCCATGTCCTGCCGGTACCTGCAGGCTGGAGGTTACTTCTGGGTAGTCTGAGATGCTTGAGTAGGAACCAGAGGCCTGAAAGGCAATACAGATGTTGCTAAAGGTCTTCCCTCTTTAGTAGGAAGGAAACAGTTTTTGCAAGCAAAGCAGTTTGCTTTCTCCCTTTCATAATGACCCCACAAGCATTCTTTTGTAAGCATTAAATATGCAGACTGTAAGAAAATATCTGTTATTTTGCAATCAAAACAAAATGCTGTAATTTAACTGCAGGAATCACCCATAACTTCCGATGTCTAAGCACATCATCTCAGTATAGCACAACAGTGATGCTTACAGTCTCAGGAGCTTCTGAAAGAGAAACTGGTGGCCACGTTCTGACAGTAAAGGACGTTTCACTGGCACTCCCAGGAGCTGAGCAAAAGCAAGACAAACCAACATATCACTCTCACAGGAAACCATTCTGCTTGGACAAAGAATGTATGCTACTGACCTGAGACCATTGAACCTAAGTACCTCTGCCTGGAGTCTTTGCTGTGTATATTATAAAGATGTTGTGCCATACAAAGGCATTGCAAAATCCCTCCAGTGCCCTTTTCAGAGCTTTGAAATCCTTCCAGGAAACACCTGCTATTATCTCAACACGGAGCCTAAAAAGATGGAGTTGGGCTCTGGATCCCTATCATAGATCAGAGGAGGCAGTGGATGTAAAACTAGATTATTTGATGAAAATTGATAAACACCAGCTCAGGGCCTTGGAAGACAAATTGGTGGAGAGCTGCAGATAGCAAGCTGTACTTTTGAAGTCCCAGATCACAGCTATACAATAAACAGCCGACTGAAGTGTGATACATTTGCATAGGGCATGCAGTGGATTTTGAGGTAATTTCCCAGAGCAGTTTTCAATATTTAAAATAGAGCTACAAACTGCTTTGTTATCCGCATCATCCGTCACAGTTTCTCTGTGTGCTGTCAGATGATACAAAACCCTCCTGAAAACAAAATCTTCCATTCACGTTATGACAATCCCAGGTGGCTCCTTTCATGTTATAAATGGTTAACCTTATGTCATAAGCTGCATTTTGAAGAGTGAGGATCACCTGCTTCACTGTCCTCTTTTTCAAGACAGATGCTGGAACATCCCTACATCAGAGGAACACAGACACCCATCTTTTTAAGTGTCCCCATGCAGAAATTAACTTGTATTCTCAAAAAATTGCTCCCCGGCAGCTAAGGAGGATGTCACATGGTTAAGAAAACCCATGAGAGCTGAGACTGGAAGCCATATCATTTGCAACAAGAATAGAAATGGTTTGAGAACATTTTCACTTCTTCTTCCAAGAAGGAAATGCAAGTGTTGTAACATTTTAGTGTTGCTCAACTGGTAATGTTTGAGATTGAGGGATAGATAAAATAGCATCCCTGATTTTTCTTTCAAAATCCTGCCATTAAGCTGTCATTAACTACGAACTCTGCTGTGAGTACTGGATATTAATGCTGGCTTTTTCAGATTTAAAAAAAGCTGAGTGGGTATATGACAGACATCTATAGATGCACACAGTGGAACAAAGCTGAGTAAGGAATGGATATTCCATCACAATGATGGGCCTCACTTGAGACTATGCACAGACTGCAGGGGATGTGGGCAACCTCTGAGACACAGGCAACAGCAGGGTAAAAGAATACTTACGATACAATATGTTGTATCATAACATTTCTGCTGTTTCTATATTCCTCCTCAATTTTCTGCAGTTGACAGCTAATGGAGATGGGATCCTGAACTAGATTTACGTTTGAACCAACCCAGCAACACAGTTCTTTGTTACTTAACCTTAACCAACAAGTGCTTTGATTAAATAGTGAGCACACACACAGATCCTAAAACCTTGTGTTTTATTGTTCACGGGATGCACTTCTGGATGACAAGGTGAGACTTTATACCACAGAGAAAACATATCCTGAAACAGCCACAGGGAAAACAACACTGGAAGCACCAATGAAGCATCTAGTTAAGCCCAACACCTGGGAACAACATACAAGTTCCTTCTGCTAAGCCTCTAAATAATATGAAGTAGAATTTACAGGCCAAGTTCTGATCTCAAGTCCTATGGCAGGTTCAGTAAAGTTTAGCCAAGATATTTCTATCATCTGTCATTTTGTTTCTTTTTTAAGATGTCCATTTGCAATGCAGCTAAAATATGCTATTGCCATTAATACTTGGAAAAAAGTTACCTGAGGTCGGTGGAGAGGTGTGAGTGAGAGGAGTTGCAGTAGAGACCCTAGCTGGTGTTAGAGAAACAAACAACAGGCATTATAATTAATGTCCATCCATGCAGTGAAAAAAGAGAAAATGTTTCTATAAAAGCGTGCTCAAACCAGGCACACACCTGTGAGACAATTGTTCCTTATGTTATCATGTTTTTTTTTCACAAGTAGAGATGAACTAAAACCAAAAGAAGAGTTTCCTTAAAGAAAAATTGTCAGTGCTATTTGCGTATCCCTGGGCTTTACCCTGAAACCCCGCAGAAAAAGATGAAACATTATCTTTGTGATAAAGCCGCAAGTACGGCACTTCAGATACCCTACAGTGCCCTCATTCTTCATTTCTATAAATAGTGCTTCCAAGGAAACTCAGTAGCACTGCATACCATTAAACAAAGCACCACTGCCTTCGTTGTTTGCTTTTTTATTGTTATTACTGCAGTGATTACAACGTTCTCAAAGGCAGATTAGCTTTCACCCAACTAACAGCAGGTCTGCCAGATGCTAAAGACTGATTCTATGGATGATGACAGAAATCGCTTCCTCCACAAGCTTCAAACTCCAGAAGGAGCAGCAGAGTCACTGTGACAGCACTCACCTGTCTCAACCACCACCTGGAGGTTGGTTGTCTTGTCGTTGAACCACCCTGGGATCTCCACACGGCAGCAATACGTCCCACTGTCTGTTTCCTGGGCATTCAGGATGGTGAGGGACACGTTGCCCTTCAGCAGGTTCCCTTTCAGCACGTACTTTGTGTGGTACCCCTCTGTCACTTTCCTCCCATCTGTCCAGATAATGGGGCGAGAGCATTTGGAAGGGGGGCAGGCATCACGGCCCCAGCACATTGAGGTGATGTCATGTTCTGTCCTAACCGTGTAAAAGCAGGGCACGGTGATGTTCTGACCAACCTCTCCCTTCACCAGCAGTCCTGACACCGTAGGGCCTGTGGACAGAAACACAAACATTAAAAGGTCGCGTGCGGCAGGCAAAAAGGTGAAGAGAGAATGGAGTTTGGACCTGCACAGCTCCGTGGCTTCTCTTCAGCCACATCCAGGTCAATGGGTCTTGGTTTTTCTCTTAGCTTAGATTTAATCCAAACCAGGCATGGGAGAACAGAAAGGCATCATTTTTCATTAAAACTATAGTGGGAAACCCTTCCTCACTTTCAGTAAAAAGCCACTGAAAGGCAGTTTTCACCAGCATTATAGCTGTGCATTTCCTTTTTTCTTTCGCTAAGAAAGGATTTGGGCTGTGCCTATCAGAAGACGTCTTCCAGAGCTTTCCTAAAAACTTCTGTACCTTCTTTTTTTCCCTAGCTTAAAATCCCCCCTCATTCTTCCCCAAGCTTCTAACCCATTCAGTTCCCACAGCATGGGATCCAAAGTGCAAAGATGTTGATTTACCCACATTAACATTTCAGGGATAGAATTCACTGCGGCAAGGATGGAAGTAGGAAATAGTCTAGCAACTAATTATCTCTAATCAAAGTCCCTGGATATCACTGGCAAGGGTGCTGCCCTCAGCAGGTAGCTCAACTTGTGCCAATGGATCCCAAGCAGCGCCTGGCTTCATTGCCATTGTTCCTTGGGAAAAAGCAGTCCTGCCCAATTTCATCTCAGCCATGTTTTTCCTAAACTATGCTATAATAATTATAAGTAAGTCTTATGCAAAGATTTTGCCACAGTAACGTACCATTTTATTTAATACAAAAAGGAAACTCTAAATGAATCTCATCATAAAAGGCTTTAGAAAAAACTAGAAGTATCTGTAGTCTCTTTTTTGTCTGTTGAACATATCCTACCAAACGTTTCGTGTCCATCTGCCTGTATCAATAGCTCTGCTTTAAAAGGGAGATAAGATCGTCAGAATACTGTGATAAAGTTTTACTGAATATGCAAAAAGAGTGGTTGCAATGCAACCACTCTTACCACTGTAACCCAGAATCTCTCTGCAGCCCCCAGAAGCACTGATGCACGTTACCTCCCTTCCATCCGCTTCCAGCTATTTTTCACACCCACTGAGTTACCTGTAAGCCAGATCAGAAGGATCCAGTCCAGGATGTAATGAGAAGACATTGTGGCTGAGGATGAGGAATGCTCTTATTCACTCTTTATGCACCTACATTCAAAATAAACTATCGTTTTCATAAACTGCTGGTTTTACTTCTCAGTACTAGCACGTCAGCTTCAAACAGGATGATGCCCTTTGGTTTGATCAGGATTGCCTTTCCTGTGGTTAGTCTGTTAGTCACTGAAGCTGCTGCTGCTGAGAACGCATGCAGCTGAATGCTTGCTGACTGTGGTTTGACTATAAGGTTAAAATACTCAGCAGCACTTCAGAAATCTACTTCTCTTTTTTTTCCCCCCAGATCTACTTGCTTACAGCAGGTTAAACTGTTAGTACCACCAAGCTGTCACCACCAATAATCCATTGCCTCAAGATGGGTTCCCACACCCAGAAGAGATTACATAAGATGTGTAGCAGACCAGTAAACAGAAATCATTCAGCAATGTAAGAGGGTCTTAGGAATTATTAAACCAGCATCTAATCCTAAATTCTGCTTCTAACATTGCTACTTTAAACAAATGTGATATCCTTTACAGCAGGAATACTGGAAGCTTCCACTTCACAGGTGTAGACTTAACAGAGCTGCAGCCTCTCATCACTCAGCTCTTAGAAGTTCAGCATGATTCTGAGCTTTTACCATACCGAGTAACACACAGCACGGAAGCCATCTGAAAAGCTGGGTGGCAACAGTGGTCACTAGGAGAAATATGCTACTTAAAAAATGGTTTTTCTGGCCACTCTGGGTTGCCCTGAGTGAGGACAGGGAGTCTTTTAATATCATTCAGTTGAGAACTGCAGCTGTGATCAAACATGATCCATAGCAAATTCATGTTCTCTGCTGAAACAGATGATCTGCCTTTTATACAGACAAATTAAGTTGCAAGGAATGACTTTTTAGAACTAACAAATAAACGCAGCCAAGTGGCAGAGCTACACCAGCAACATATCTGCTGGAAAAGGATGGAAGAGGGAGAAAGGGCAACCTGTGCATGCAGATTTATGACTGGACAAGAACACATTTCCTCTCTGCTGTTCCTGCTTCTGGGGAGACAGGACACTGTAGGCAGCTTTTACAGACATTGTGCTGACCATTAACAGCAGTATCCTGGGACTGCCCTGCAACAACAGAGTTTAGCTTTGTTTTTCCTCCCTCTGAATGATCAAAACTTCCCCTTTTTGCTCACTGACAACACACTTGCCTTCCCTGTTTCAAACAACTGCACTTATCCCCGAGCTCACTTGGTGTTACAAAAGAACCAGCTTGTTGTTGTTTTAAAGCAGCATTTTGTTCACTCTTCTTAACATCCGACATTACCTTTATCCTACTGAGTTTTGTAAGGCATTTATAATCCAATTCACTTCATACATTAACATTTCACAGGAATAGAATACTTCAAGTATCATCATCACATCCAACAGCAACATCAGAGGTTTTGGTTTTTTTTCTTTTTTTGAGGTTAAGAAAGACCTCATCATCACGAGTCGGCTAATTAGAAGAGACAACATTCATAGCCTCACTTTGAAGTCAGTGAGTCATATCCTACACAATCTGAAATGCAGCTCCCATACAAGGTATACATCACCCACTGCCTTCATTGCAGCTACAGTTGAATTGTTGGGTTTTTTGCTTTGGTTTTTTGTTTTTTTTTTGTTTTTTTTTTTTTTTTTTAATCAAAAGCAAAGTTTTAAAAGGAAAAAAGAGAGCCATCATTGTATTGATGTGACAAAAGAGAGTTGCCATTTTGGCTGAAGAAAAGCTCAGAAAGTACCGCGGTCTCCTGCAGGTATTTATCTCAGGGTTTGCCTTAAAGACAGACCCCAAAGAATATAGAGAAAATTATTGCTGAAACTTCTTGGAAAGTTGAAAGCAGTCTTACGATTTTAAACGACTCGATCCCCAATTACTTCATTGCTTTCACCAGAAGAGGTTAATTATGACTACAGGTTACTGTTAGAACCCAGCCTGTAGTTGGAAGTGCAGCACTTGGGCCTTCAACTTCATTAGAAACATAAAAAGTGAAAAAAAAAAAAACAAATACAAAAACAACCAAAAAAAGACCTTGGGCATCTATAGCATTGAATGGCAGAGTTAGAACATCTGTGGCAAAGTAACTCCACATGCATGATCTCTTATCCACAACACACTAAAGCTGTTTCTTCCTATCTTCCACTTGGGGAGCATTTGTAAAGCAGACACCCAATTAATTCAGCTGACCCACAGTAGTTGTAGTTACTGGAAAACAACTGTTCAGATAGTTCAGGGAGAAGGAAAGAGCGGGAGCTGCATAGAGGTCAGAAGTTTTAACTTCATGAAGTTATTTATAAACATTTCTGAAAAAACATGTTTTCTCTTTACTATTACTTACATCACACGTACTTGAAATTGCAGATGAGTTCCTGCTGTGAGTCACCCGTTTGCTTCAGTTCATCTTTAGCTATACTGATCTCAATCCCACCACCCAACAGTTAAGATCTACCTTCTCATTTAAATAAATGTGCATGCCTGAAAACAGCTGAATGATCTCATATATCATTTGCATAATGAGTGTTAAAAATAGTTTCACTAAGTTCCCTCATCCACAAAGTTAACCTTTTTTTCTTTTAAGGTGCTACATCTGGTTTGGAAAACATCATGCTACAGACAGGAGGAGCTGGGTAAAGAAGCCACTTCATTATCAAATCACTCTTTTCCACTTGCCATAAGCTTGATCCAACTGCAGTTCTCTTTAAACATGACTGATTTAGCTTCCATTTTACAGACTTCAGGAGTCTTTCTAACTTGAGAGTTCTCAGTTAGTATAAAAGCTAATTATCCATTTAATCAACTTAGCTGTAGAGAACCACAACTTCACAGATCTGAACAAGTTACACCACAACACATACATAACAAAACATTCTTAAGTACTCTTTAACACTGTTACATTAGTACAAAGTTAGACAGGAATGGATTTCCCAGATTTAATATTGATTTAATTTTTAATATAGTGTAACTGAAAAGACTCATTTCAAATGTAAACTAACATTTATTTGAAATCTAGGAACTGTCAGCTTCAATTTCAGTCAGTCAGATGCTCTGCTTCCACAGCATAAGGCATTTACAAGATGAAGCATGTCCCAGAAAGCTGTAAGTGACAAAACAATGTTCTACAAAAAAAAGCTAACTTTAACAGCATCCACACAGGACAAAGCAGACGTTGTTGTTTTTACCAATACACATATAGCCCATACAAAATATTAAATACCCACAGCTGCTTAGCAGCTCACACCCACCCCACAGTAGGTGCAAATGTTTCAACTGCTTGCACAACAGAAAAACAAAATACAGCATATACCCTCACAAGCCATCTGGCCTCTGTATTGTGTGCTAACATAATAAATGCTTCCTTCATGTCATTTCATCAATAATGCTACACATAGCTGCATCTTTGTCTAAAACCTGATCTCTCTTGCAGCCAGAACGTTCTCTCTGCTTCTCACTCTGTCCAATGCAGCTGTTGCCATCATCAGCGTCCATTGGTTCTGTTTTCACTCCCAGTCCTCCCTCTGAATGAGGGAGATCATCAGGCAATGATGCCAGGCAGTTCTGAATCATCTCCACAACTCTCTCTAAATGCTTCTGAAATCGCTCTGCAGTTTCCAGACGCTGACGTTTCTGCACTTCCATCATGACTCTCAGGGTCTCCCTAGCTTGGTGGGGACGGTACTCATTTATAAGATGATGCACATGAACAAACAGCAGTTTCAGGTCCTCCAGTTTCTCTTCTCGCTTTATACTCCCTGGACTCCTTATCAAGATATCCAAGAGATCCAAAAAGTTGACCAAGATAGACATGTTAAGTTTCCTTAATTCCTTTTTGTGATCAAACTGCATCGGATGCAGCCGTTCAATACCCTGGCTTTCCAAGGGTCGGATAATTAAGTCATCACACTGGAACTGATTACCAAACATCATGTAACTGTCTTTCACAGGTGGAGGTGGCTTCGGTGCCAGACCTTTACGTATGTTCTCATCAGTATATTCTTTTATATATTGCATTGGAGGTGGAGGAAGGGCACTCACTTGCTGAGGTTCACCCATTTTTGCAGATGAAAATACCTAGCAAATACCAAAGAAACGTACATTAAATAACTTATGTGACAACTTTGTAGCATGTAGAAAGCAGCATACAGCTAGCTATGAGAAAACACACAAGACAGGAGATACTTCAGCGTGCACATAATAGTGAACTCTCCAATAAATCCACGTTAGCTTTTTACTGAAATACACAGCGCTTCCCAAACCAGATCTGCCAGTGAAGAGGCACAAGAAGGAAGGCCCGGCCCACCGCTACGGCCGGGCTCCGGGAAGGCCCAAAAGTCGCACAGCCGGGCTCGCCGGGCCGCTGCTGAAGAGAAACAAAGGCGGAGGCCGCGCTCGGCAGGAGCCCGGCGGCAGCTGGCCAAGGATCTGGCCAAGGAGCCGGCCGCGCACACAGGGCGCACACAAAGCACTCCCTCACCTGCCCGCCCGCTGCGCTCCGCTGCAACCGCCAACACCTGACTTCCGGCGAGCAGCTCTTCTTCCTCCTTCCTCCCATTGGCTCGCAACTCAAGCAGGGTGACAGGCTCTGATTGGCTCTCCTCAACGCCAGTCACAAACTTGCTCCACTCACAGCCAGGGCTCATTCGGGAGGCGGTGCGGAGCAGGGTTCGCATCGCGGCGGGGGCGTTGGGGAATGGTGCCCTCTTGCGGCTGGGAGTGGCGCGGCGGGGCTCTCAGCCGGGATCTCAGCAAGGGTCCCTACACGAGGGGTCCTCCGGCGGAGGCAGAGATAGGAGCGGACGACCTGGCTTTTGTAGGCATCAGACCCTCCGCGAGACTTACTTCTGCATGTTTAGTGTTTAGTATTCCAACTGGAAAGCCAGGACTGCTTTCATAAAATCATAGAACATCCCGAGTTCGAAGGGATTCATCGAGTGCAGCTGCTGGCTCTGCATGGAACCACCTAAAAATCAGTCCGTATGTCTGAGAGCATCATCCAGACTCTTCCTAAACTCTGGTGAGCTCGGTGCCAGACCCTGAGGAGCCCGTCAGTGTGACCCAATGCTTTAACCATTGAATGATGCAGCAGAGATTTGGGTGTTATTCTGGTCACGAAATGAAAGCATTGCCCTGGGAAGTGTTAGCATCCTTTCTATAGCTGAACACACCCAGCCTGGATGCACAAAGTCTGCAACAAACCGCTGGGACTTCTTGTTTTTCTTCCATTTTTGTTTCAGGCAAAGTTCAA